AGATCTGAGCCTATCAAACACTGGAACCTCATGCCCTCAGCCCCTCACATACCCCAACTCAAATTCCTGCACCCTCACATCCGCAAGCCTGTGGCTTGCTTAGAATCCCAACACTGCCCCGCCTGGAGCCCCCTCCCCGAGCCAGTGTCCCCTTCTCCACCTCCTCCTGCATCCAGATTTCCTCCCAGAGCTTGCACCTCTCACCCCTTCCCACACCCAAATCCCTCCCCATCCCAGAGCCTACACATCCTGTCTCAACACAGCAAGGGTCCAGCTAGACTGCAGGAGTTCTTCAGGATTTTGGAGATATCCCAGAAAAACTCTTCTGCATCAAGGGTTGCGTTTGTTCTTCTGCTTTTTTAGTGGAAGAGCAAACCAGGCTCTTTTGGTCACCCCTATATTCCTCCTTCCACAAGGAATAAGGTGGCTTCCAAAAGAAGGTTTTTTTTTCTGACATTTGGTCCAGTGTAGACAGGCCAAATGTTGGAAAAACCTCTTCCTACAGAAGAATTTAAAAAAAGGGCAGCAGGATAAGGATTGGGGATAGCAAGTGATGGAAAGGAGGAGAATAGAGAGGGCAGGGCTTCAACGAAGGGGTGGGGCGGTAGATCTTGGCTTGTTCTGTCATTTAAAATGTGATCTTGGGTGTAAAAAGGTTGGAGACCACTGTTCTAGAGTCTGCAGAGACTGGAAATTGCCATATGAAGACATTTCAGGGAAACGTGAGTTAAGCATTAAGCAGTTTTCAGTCTTCTTTGAAAGATGGAAATGGGGCCTAGGAGGGTGTAGAAATATAGATGCTGTAAGGAACCATTTTCTCCCAGGTTAAATGAGGAAAAAGATGACAAGCTTATAGAAATCTTACAATTAAAGAAATTAAGCACAGTTTTAGAGAATTTGCCTTTTCCTCTTCTCCATGGGCAGCACATTTCTTCTGCTATAAGTGTGTGTAAATGCTGCTTTTCTGGTAAATCTCATTGCTCCTTTGGTCTGTAGCACCAGCTACCTGTATTCTGTATTTATTTCCCCCAAATTTTGAATGCTAAGGTCTTTAAATGTTTTGTTAGCTGCTGCGAAGAAATCCAGAGCGGCGACTTGGAGCTGGTGAGAAAGATGCTGAGGATGTGAAAAAGCATCACTTCTTTCGGGTAAGTGCAAGCTACTGTAGTTTATATTTAAAAAAAAAAATAATCCTCAGACAGGAAACTAATGAACAATTGATTGTTTTACAGCTAATAGACTGGAATGCTTTGCTGGCTAAGAAAGTGAAGCCCCCTTTTGTTCCCACCATTAGAGGAAGAGAAGATGTTAGTAATTTTGATGATGAATTTACCTCAGAAGCACCAATTCTCACTCCACCCCGGGAACCAAGGATACTTTCAGAAGAAGAGCAGGAAACATTCAGAGATTTTGATTACATTGCTGATTGGTGTTAATTTCTAGACACTGTGAAATCATAGCTAACTGGCTCAAGAGAACACCTCTCAGAAGAATTCTGGCCCTCCATTTGCTCTGTGCCACCTGTAGCTTCTGATTTTTAATCATATGAAGATTCTTTGAAGTACTGTTTTTAATACTCTTAAGAGTGGCCGCCTTGTCATACTTTTAACTGAGCACTGGAAAGCAGTTCTGTGGAGTTTAAGCTGAGTTGGTGAATACAGGCCACATGAAGCTCTCACATGGGCACACTTGGATCTGTACTGTAACTTTTACTTTTCTACAGCAGATAACATTGTAAAATGCATGCCTTAAGTGATGGGGGGAATAGATTGAGCTAGATTGATAACCCTTTACCTTGATTCAGTCATGTTAAAATAGAAGTTTGGAGGTGCTATTGCCATTCATGCAGAATGATTCTCTGGAGAAGGCAAATGGTCAGTTTTAAATATACTGTAATATCCAAAATGTTTAATTTTAGGCTTATGCACACTTTCAGCTTGTTTTAAAATGGAAATTAAGTACAGATGCCTTGTTTTGTACATTTTTCTATGGTATTTATTAGAAAAAAAATGTGTTAAATGCCTTGCCTTTGGAAGATATCAGTAAAAGTGCTTCCATAAAAACAGACAGGTCCTGAAAGTTTACCAAAGCCACTTGCCAAACAGTTTTTGCCTTTAAGCATGGCTTAATTAAAAAAAACTGAAGCCTAGAAGGTCAGTTCAGGGTTAATCATGAATAGTTGTGTCCCCAACTCCATCCACTTCTATATTCTGGAAATCCAAGCCTTTTCATATTGAGTGGACAAATTAAGTTAATCATACCATATTTAGTTATCTAGAGTTCATCCTATTTGAAGTATACCATATCTGTAGAAAACAAAGATTGTCATTGTATACATGATGTGAACATGTATATTTGGAACTTGTAAAACATTGTTGCAGGCATGTCATTTAATTGTACCACTTCATTAATTTTGCACAGTGGCCATGTGAACACAGCATAGAACTGGTTTAACTGACAAACGTATTCATTTTGGGCCATTGAATTCCAAAACTTAGATTGGCAATTCCTAAGGGTAAAAGCAATATGTTGTAACAGAATGTATAAATATTTTTGATAAGTGTATATTTTATAAACCTCAACACTAAACTGTACCTCAAAAGTCAAGTAGTTTAGACCGGATACTGTGTGCGCTTTTAAACTCTTTCATAGACCTATTTTTGGCTGTCATGGTTCTGTAGGCAAACAGCCACTCTTGGGAAAACAAGTTTCCAGTTTAACTTACTAATATTTATATTTTATCGTGTGCTTAGTCTTGTAGTTTCTTCCTAGCCCACGAAGAGCTAACCGTTGGCAAAGATTCTTAAGAATCCAAAGTCAAATTAGTGCAAATCCTGGAATTAAACATTCCAAATAAAATAGAGAAATGCTTAAACCATGTTGATCTTTAAAGAATGGAGTGGTGAAAATACTTTGCAAAAGTAACACATGGGTGACTGTTTTGTAAGTAAATTACTGCTGATTAAAACACCAGAAGTCTTGGGGAAGAAAATAGGCTAATAGACCTGAATAATGTGTAAGTTTCCTTTTTTAGACAAAAGGGAGTAAGGGCAACAGGACAATACAGAAATCATGTTTTTGGCTTTATTTAATAAGGTCTTAAAGTGGGAACACTTCAATAACTTGTTTCAAGATTATCTTTGAAGCAGGGGAAAAAAAACAAGCTTAAAATTTGAACACTAAATACTTTTGAGGTACAGTCTTGTTTACCCTTTTGGGTTCCCAAATATATATATATATAAATAAAAATATAAGAGGATGCTTAGCATTTTTAAAGCACCCTGAGAAATACCTTTTTGTAACTACATCTTGTACAGAATTATTTTTCATGAGTAAATCACTAAAAAAAATTAGGGCAGGGTATGTTCACACAGTTAAGCTGAAAGAAAGCACTAATTTTATCTCTGTAGTTTTTTAAAAATTATTTTAGGCAAATTAATATTTTAAACTCTAGATTGTAAATATATTTTGCTATACTTTATCTGTATGAGACTGCTCAAGCACTTTGTAAGGAAACTTAGGATATTTTAGAATGGTACACTATGCATTAAAATGAAATGTGCCTTTAACAATGTCATTCTAAGTGTTTTGCAGTCAATATCACAAATTAAAGTTAATAGTTTGTAACTTGTGTCCTAAATTTTACTGATTGACTGTGTAGTGTACATATTTCACTTCATCCCCCAAGATCTCCTTTTCCATATGGTGGTTAAATATATTCGGAAGAGGCTTCTTATACCAAAACTTTATGGAGTTTTGTTCTAAGGTTTATCACTAATGGCTGTTTACTTTACATTGGTATGTGGTCATGAGTAAGAGCTCCCTTTATCATAGCTCAATTTTTAAACTTTATATACTATTGTTCCTCCTTTAGATTGGATTAGCTATTGGCCTGGTTAAGCACAGCCAAACTTTTTACTTACATTTTACTTACTATGAAGGGTAGTGGGCATTGCTCAGTCTATACAGCAGAGCTAAAGTTGAAATAAGCAACACCATTGATGTAGCTGAAGTTGCATAGCTTACCCTAAAATAGCTTTTCAGCTTTAGATGCTGTCTATACAGCAGGAAGTCCAAGGAAGAGCACTCTGACTTCCCTTATCTAATACATAAAGGAGAATGTTTGCAAGTTTGTGCACTAATAATTTGGACACTATCATAGCTACCACAACTAGACTTCGCATGGGATAACTTTTCATCTAGGAGAAAGTTTTAAGGTACTTTTGAACCTGATTGGCCTAAGCTCAAGCTGTAAAAATCAAAGTAACCTGCAGCGCTGCCCTGCCCACCCTAGGTCCTATGCTCACTGCCTGCAGCCCCCAGTTCTGTCCAGGACTTGCCCCCTCCTGCCTGTGAGGTTACATAAGCCACCCTCTTTCTCCCCCCTCCCCCCAAAGCATGCAGTGCCCTGCCTCCCAAATGCACAATGGCTCAGGCACCTGCCCTGCAGCACTGGGCATGAGCTGGGCCTCTCCTCCACCCAGGGTCACAAACCTCCACCCCCTTTCTGGGGATGATTCAGACCTATATTTTAAATCCCTATAGAAATCAGTGCAACTTCTCTACCATTCAAAAAAGATGGACTACTGTTCTACATTTTGTTCCTCCAGTTTCCCAAGCAACACCAGGTAACTTCAGCTAGTTCCTTGTAAATTAGGTTACAGGAGTTAGTAAGAAGTCCTCCAGCTCAACATTGTTTTGACATGTTGAAATAACTGTTTATTGTGGAATGTCATCACTTTCTGAAATAACACTGCTGTGTAGACATACCTATCCTTTTTAGAAAAGATGCCTTTAATTCTTCAAGTCCTTGGTAGTGCTGTTGAGGGACTTGGCCCTTTTGTTAACTGGGCTGATACAGCACATGATGCATGCTCTTTCATTCTTTCCTGAACAGGTGCCTCTCTTGCTATTGCTCTACAAGGTGGACCATGAGTAAGCATGAAATTCTCCATTTCAAGGAGCCCACAGTACATTATCCTAAAGGTCTCATTTTCCTTATTCTGTGAGAAATGGTAGGGAGAAGCAGTATTTGTTTTATTTAACTGGCACCACCATCCATAAAACATCTGGGAATGTTCTCACCAGTATGTGTCACCTTACAAGTTCCTGTGAAAGTATATATTGCTGAGTACCACAGAGCAATGTTTCCCACAACTAGTATATAAAAAGCTCTAATTGTAATTTCACCCAAAATTACTGGCTAGTAACTTTTGCATTCTGAATTACAGCAGCACCATTCAGGACAGGTGCTCTTTAAAAAAAAGCCTTGATCTAAAACAAGTCAAAACAGCAACAAGATGTGATATTCATGGTTATGAATAAAACTTGAGAGCTATCAATGGAAATTAGGACCCAAGTTAAAACTAATATTGTACACAATTCAGAAACGGAACCTATGAATTACTAACAGGGCAAAGTGGAATGAAAATACTCTTCTCAAGGCTTGTTGGGGAGGAGGTATCAAGGGCTTCAAGGCTTTTTTTTTTTAAAGTCCTTTATCTACTGCTTTCCTCTAAGGCTCTGTCTAGACTGCAAGCCTCTTTCGAAAGAGCGTCTAGACTGCACAGTGAACTTTCGAAAAAGCAGCTTGCTTTTTCAAAAGAAAGCATCCAGTGAGTCTGGATGCTCTTTCGAAGAAGCCCTATTTACATTGAAGAACGCCTTCTTTCGAAAGAGGAACTTTCCAAAAGGCGTTCTTCCTCATGAAATGAGGTTTACCGCCATCGAAAGAAAAGCCACGTTCTTTTGATTTAATTTCGAAAGAACGCGGCTGCAGTCTAGACGCAGGGGAAGTTTTTTCGGAAAAAGGCTACTTTTCCCAAAAAAAACCCTGAGTCTGGACACAGCCTAAGTGATGCTCTGGCTTCAGCCTTAGTTTGTACACACTGTCTGGGGCCGTTGAATGATCTCTCTCAAAAGTTCCCCTAAACAGCTAAATTCAGCACTTAGAAGAGGGAAGGAACTTTCAAGATTACCATCTAGTTACCACTGTTGCTGTTTTCTGTATGATAATTACTTCTACAAGTTAAGAAATTATTCTTGAGCAGCACCTGTGATCTCTCAGGCTAGAAACTAATTAGTAAGAGGAATTTTAGTGGAATAACTAAGCATTATCCCCTTAATGTTTCAAAAATTAAAAGCTTTGTCTGGAATAAATTCCCCTCCTGTGTGCTTTGCTATATATGAAAGGGCAAATGGGATAAGAGGAATGTTAGCACTAAATGGGCATGTACACAGGCTAAGTTGAAATGTAAAAAGCAATATAACCACTTGCTTCAGGTAGACTTAAGCAAAATTCACATTAAGGTTTTGATCAGTCATGCCACTTGTCCTCTGCCTTCTAGAGCTGAGGAAATACATGTCACTCAGTATAGCAAGCCTCCCTTGCTACATTCCCTTAGCTCAGCCCCCTTCAAACTGCTGTAATAGCAGTTAGGCAACCCTTCCGCCCACATACAGGCACATAGGAAGTGGAATGCTGGAGCAATCTGCAAAGTAGGCTCCTACTTTTCTTCCCTCTGGGCTTCCACCAGAATGTGTCACCCTCAAGTCAGTGCTTGTGGGACAAATTTTCCTTTCATTAATTTTATGAAATTCTTGTTTGGGTCTGAAACCAAAGTTTGAGGGTGAAATCCCATCAGTACTTTGAGCTTGAAAATGCTTCCCTCCCCCCCAGTTACCTTCAAGGGTTCTAAAAATTATAAAAAATAAATTAGGGTACATGTAATATTTCAACTTAAACAATACATACTAAGGTTACTTTAATGCACAACACAAATCAACATGGTAAGACCTTCAACCGAAAGGCCATGTTTTTCCTCACAGGCAATGGAACTGTAACAGTAGTTTAAGGGAAGACTATCCAAGGCTACTGACAATCAAGAATTTATGAAGCTTGAATGCAGCTTACCCAAGGTGAAGATACTGGGTTTATTTTACCTTTTACACATAGGCACTGGGACCTTTAATCAATTTTAGTCAGGACTTCAATGGCATGAGAAGTACTATAGTGTTTCACAGGAAAAACTTAGGAGCTGTCACATTTCAATAACCTTCAGTGAGGGATTAAAATTGAAGCAGCAAGAAAACAGTCAGCACTATTGACAATTAGTAATGTTAGCACTGGGCACAGAGCCCTTTTTTGGATGGATTAGGACCAGATGTGTAACAGCCTGACCCCTTCAGCTGTTCATTTTGATAATTAAAGTAAATCTTGCACCTGTGATGCAAAATTAGCTCAGAAACCAGAAGTACATTTGTTGCTTTGAACACAAAGCGACACTGTCAAGAGGCATCCACTTTTGGAAGCTATTAGTCTGGGGAAGGGAAATAACTTTTGGCTTTTAACTCCTCAGCACCTGGACTATCATTTCAAATACTAAGTGCTAATTTAGAATGCATCAATGCCAAAAGCTTAACTATTAGACAGACAAATTTAATATAAAGTGATAGGTCAGTATCAGTATTTGAAATACTTTTATCATCTTTGGTAGAATGCCAGATGTCAAAGTTGCCAAGAACTGAAATAAGTTTCTTTTAGTTGCTTCATAGTTAAGTGAAATTCACAGAGAGGGTGAGACCTCAATGAGAATCAAGGAGGCTGTGCCAACAATGACTAATCTTTTCATAAACAGTTCAGAAACCTTCAGCAGCAGTTGTGCAAATATTCAAGCTGCTTTTGGGCAACTGTTTGCTCTTGGGTTAAATCTACCATACTGTACACTGCAGCTAACTATAAATATTATAACTACACTAGAGATTAAAAGTTGCCAAGAAAGCATGTGTGAGAGAAAGTATCCTTGTGACAGGATCCATATTAGCATGGAGATATGCCAGATTACATCCAATCTTCTATTTGGAGCCATATATAACAGTCTAGTGAAATACGCAAGTCGGTAAATGTTTTTGGAAAAGTTTTATTGGGGAATTACATAATTTAAATCGTTTTCCAAAATACATTTTACTAGATTCTCTACAAAAGAAATCTAACATATAATATGAAATTTAACTTGTTCCGGTCATTAAATATTTACTTCCACTAATATATACATACAAAATGCCACAATTATTCTGTTTATCCTTGGAATGTGTGCTGTATTCCAGCAGTTTGATTTTCATATCCTCCTCCAGTTCCACAATATCAAGGCTCAGTAGCAACACTTTGTATATCCTTTATTATAGGCAAAAATCAAATGTTCTTTAGAAATTAAATGTAACCTTAGCAGTTTTACAGCTGGGGTAGTT